GGCGAAGTCAAGGTCCGAAAACACAGGGGATTTGCCACAGGGTCCAAAAACACATGGGATTTGCCAGATTTCTGAAATTCGGTGCCACCCCTCACGCAGATCCGCGGGGTCAGGGTCCAAAAACACATGGGATTTGCCACATTTCTGAAATTCGGTGCCACCCCTCACGCAGATCCGCGGGGTCAGGGTCCAAAAACACATGGGATTTGCCACATGTCGGTCAGGGTCAAAAACACACATGGGATTTGCTACATTTCTGAAATTCGGTGCCACCCCTCACGCAGATCCGCGGGTCAGGGTCCAAAAACACATGGGATTTGCCACATTTCTGAAATTCGGTGCCATCCCTCACGCAGATCCGCGGGGTCAGGGTCCAAAAACACATGGGATTTTTTTTTTTTTTTTTTTTTTTTTTTTTTTTTTCTCCGAACTTATGCAACTTCAAGAATCCAGAACTCCGTTCCCAGCGCCGTTCGGGAGGCCGCGGTACCTCGTTATTTATCGAGCGAACACGTTTACCTCGTTTTTTTCGTTTAAAGTCGATGTCGGAAAAAAGTAAACATCACCTGTGAAATATCGAGGTTTCCTTAAAGGCAGTAAAATTCCAAGAGCACGATCTGCGTGAGGGGTGGCGAAAATTGCCTTCGTCCTCACAGTTTTAATTCGCCGGCCCCCTTCGACCTCGTAATTTATCGCACAAGAAATTTGCCGGCCCCCTTCAAGTCAAAACCGGGGGTAAACCTACTAAAAGAGAACCCTGGGCCCACGCCCTTTCCGGGAAAAAAACAACGTTCGACGGTCCGCGAGGATCTCTTGGATCTGTGCTGGACCCCCCAACCTGGCGCGCGGTCCGTGCCAGGGGCGGCGCCAGCAGCGCCGCCAGAGGGGCGTCGATCTAAGAAATCCGCGCAGACCTCCGAAAGTTTCTGCTTATGCAGATTTGTCTTCGATGACGGGCTGAGGATCGCGCCGCATCGACGATACATCGGCGACGAATCGGCGACGTCCGCGATGCATCGGCCACGTCGACGCGAAATAAAGCGGGCTCCACATCGAGCCGCATCGCCGATGCATCGGCGATGCGAAGCGGTCCTTCGACCCCATATCTACTCCGACTCCATCTGGGACTCGTGGCGGCTTGTCGTTGTCATACTCTTTTGCCAGCCCGAGCTGGTGGCCACGCTGGCGGAGGTGCCAGGAGGCGACCCCGCTGTGCTGCGCGGCAAGATGAAGTCCCCTCGGGAGCGCCGCCTCAGGTAAGCTCACCATGGGAAGCTTCCCAACGCGGCGGCCCCGGCGACACGCTATGCCCTGCGAGCGGATAGCGTCTCGCGCCGCTCCGCGGGGCGGGAAGTTCGAACAGTCTCGGGACGCGGAAACCTGGGGACGCGGAAGTGGATAGCGTGCCGCGCCGAAGCGTGGTGGGCCATACCCAGCCGAGCGACACGCTATGCAAAGAGCCCAACTGTGAGTAGGGGGGGTACCAGCTCAGGGGGGGGAAGCATCGACCTGGAATCGGCGATGCCTCGCCGATAGATCGACGATATGCTCACCGATTACAAATCCGCACGGACCTGAGCGGGGTGGGCTATCGGGCCCCCATCGGCGACCCATTGGCGTTGGGGGGTCGATGGGCCCCCCCTGAGCCAATCCCCCCGAACGTTGGCCCTGATGGGCAGGTTGGGGTCGCCCAGTTGCCCCGCGCCGACGCAGGTGGGCAAACTGTCGCACAGTCCACTCTGCGCCACGGAGGTTCCGAGAAGGCTCCCGGATTCGACCTGGGATTATCCTGCTCTGAGCTTCGGCTTGTCTGTCGCGCGAGCCTCACGATGGGATTGCCCTTAGCCTGCGTCTACGTAGGCCAAGGAAAACTCATTCCCTACCTAGGCTCTGCCTAGAAGGGTTCTTACTGTATAAGCTTCAAGGGCCGGGCAGTGGACCACGCCCCGGGCGGTTCCCCCCGCATCCGCCCCGCGGTTCCCCCAGTTGCGCCCCCTGGGTTCACCCAGCTTAGCTTTGCTTAGCTAGCTAAGCTAAGCTTAGCTAGCTTAGCTAGCTAAGCTAAGCTAAGCTAAGCTTAGCTTATCTCATCTTAGCTTAGCTTAGCTTCGCTCAGCTTGGCCTAACCTAGCTTAGCTTAGCTTAGCTTAGCTTAGCTTAGCTTAGTTAATCTTAGTTTAGCTTAGCGTAGCTCAGCTTACCGTAGCTTAGGCTTGCGCAGTGCAGCATCGCGCAGCGCAGCATTAGCACAGCGTAGCATAGCATTGCCAAACATATCGTAACATACCATAACCCAGCATAGCATAGCATAGCATAGCGCAGCATAGCATAGCATAGCATAGCATAGCATAGCAGTGCTTAGCATAGCACATCGCAGCATAGCATAGCATAACACAGCATAGCATTGCATAGCGCAGCATAGCAAAGCATAGCATAGCATAGCACAGCACAGCATAGCATAGCATAGCGCAGCATATCATATCATATCATAGCCTAGCATCGCATAGCATAGCGCAGCATAGCATACCGCAGCATAACATAGCATAGCATAGCATTGCATAGCATAGCGCAGCATTGCATAGCATAGCCTAGCATAGCACAGCGCAGCCGAGCGTACCCTAGCATAGCATAGCACAGCATAGCGCAGCATAGCGCAGCATAGCGCAGCATAGTAAAGCATCGCATAGCATAGCGCAACATAGCATAGCATAGCATAGCATAGCATAGCATAGCAGCAAAGCAAAGGCAAAACATCAACAACAACAACACATCAACACACAAGCAACGCAAAGCCGGACCTGCATAGCATAGCAGATCATGTAGATGTAGATGTAGATGTGAGTCTCGCTGTTGATGTTGATGTTGATGTAGATGCATGTGTAGATGTAAATGTAGCTGTCGGTATAGATGTAGATGTTGCTTTCCTAAATGCTCCAACTCCTAGGTAGGGTCGCACTGGGATAATGTTCAGAGATGCGGCGAAACTGTATTTGTCAATCACGATCATATCCCGATGACGAGAACTGCCAGCTCCCATATTGATTGGAAAGGGGCATGCGTGCGCATATGTGTACATATTTGTTATACACCATCCTATTTTTGTATTTTTATTACCCGGACCCCCTCCCCCAGGGACGCCCCGGACGCCCTTTCGGACGTCTCGGCGGCCCCCTGGACGCCCTTGGAAAAGGTCCGCTGGCCCTTCCGGGCCTCCCAGGGCGCCTTGCCGGGCCTTGCGAGCAGATTCGAAGTGGTCCGAGGGGTCATCGGAGAGGCGCAAGAGAGACCCAATACAACACAAGAGCGCTCCAAGAGGAAACTCGATGGTCGGAAGACGGCCAACGAGGCCCCAAGTCGCCCCAAAAGGTCGTTAAGAGAGCCCCGAGAAGCCCAAATCGCCCCATCCCCCAATCTATAAATATGCAAATAAAAATATAGATGTTTTTATACATATATATATATATATATATATATGTATGTATATATATATATATAAATATATATCACTTTTAGCATATCCGCTATTTGGATCTTCGCAGCGTCCAAGATGGCCCGATGGGCCCCCGATATCGCCCCAAGGAGGGTTTGAAGACTGCCCAAGATGGCCCCCCTGGATGGTTTTGAAGACTGCCCAAGATGGCCCCCCTGGATGGTTTGAAGAGGTCAAGAGGCCCCCTGGAGGGTTTGAAGACTGCCCAAGATGGCCCCAAGGCTGCCCCAGAGAACCCCGAGACTGCCCACAAGACGCCCAAGATGCCCCTAGAAGGCTCCCAAGAGAGACCCACGAAAGCCATGGGACACTCCCAATGAGGCCACTGGAGGCTCCCAAGAGGGCCCTAGATGGCTTCAGAAGACCTCTGGAGGGCCCCAGCTCCCCAAGGCGGTCCAAGAAGGCCCCAGGACGGCCCAAGAGGGCCCCAGGAGGGCCCCCATCAAAAACCCTAATACGTCCAGACGGCGTTTTCCGTGCGCTCGCTGCGCTCACGCCAGCCCGCCTGTCCTCCCCGTACATATATCACCTTCTCTCTCTCTCTCTCTTTTTTTCTCTCTCTCTCTCTCTGTCTCTCCCTCGCTCTCCCTTCCCCACTCTGCCTTCTTCGTCGACCTCCACGTTCGTGGCATCCGATTGCCATTCTCATTCCCACGCTCCTTCCTCTGGACCTTCTCCCCGTTTCTGCCCCCCTCCTCCCACCTTCCGCCTCTTCAGCTCCTGCCTCATCCCTGCTCCCTTCCCGTTCCCCTTTCCACTGACAGGTGTCATCGCAACAGTTTGATGCTTCGTCGTATGCCAGCACCTTCGCGCCTGAAAAAAATATCATTCCCTGACCACTCCCGCGCACAAGCGTGCAAGCGCATCCGGCGAACGCGGTGTCAGCAGGCACCAAAGACATTTGAAAGATGAGCCGATCGCCCGTCCAAGCCTCGAGGTCCCCCCTGCTGAACCAAACTATGATTGATTGCTTTGCCGGGGAAGCGTCCGGAACAATGCGCATGGCGCGAAGCGCCAATGCAGTCTTGTACATATAGATACACACATCTGCACATCTACACACATACGCCGATGGTGTAAACATAAACATATGCACGCGTGTCGTGTGTAGGTATATATAGATGGCCTCATGTATTAACCTTGATTCCCCTCCTCCTCGGCCACCTACTCCACCTCAACCCGCACCTCCTCCTCCTCCTCCTCCTCCTCCTCCTCCTATTCCTCTTCCTCTTCCTCCTCCTCCTCTTCCTCCTCCTCCTCCTCCTCCTCCTCCTCCTCCTCCTCCTCCTCCCCTCTTCCTCCACCACAGACATCCACGGATACGATTTTCCAATCCGCGGCCCCAGAATCCTTGGCCCCTTCCCTGGAGCCCTGTCTCCGTCCAGGCTCCGTTGTTGATACGCCCGGGGTCCACACAAAAAGGCAACGTAGGCCGACATCTAAAAAAAAACGCACGGCCGCTCCTGCCTTCCCCGCGTCGCAAATCCCCCCCCCCCCCCCTCCCTTGCGCCTCCTGCGCCTGCGCCAGGCTGCTGCTTTCCGCGGGCGGGCCTGCCAAAGCCACTGCGTGTTGGGAGCAGGCAGGCGCCAGGATGCAGGACGGGGAGGGCCAGGCTTGGACAGCACTCCCCAAGCAGTGTGTTCCCCCAGGGTTTTGTGTCTGCTCTGGTGACTGGCTGGATGGCTTCGCGCGAAGTTTTCGCCGCGTTGCCGCCCCGTGCCGCGTCGTGGGCGCCTTGGGCGCTGGCTGGGTTCGCTGAGGCTGCGCTGCGCTGCCGCCCGTGCCGCCCTGTCGGCGCCCCGTGCGCTGGGGACGTTTCTCGAGGTGGCGCCACGTTGCCGCCAGTGCCGCCTCTTGGGCGCCCCACGAGCGCCCCGCGCTCTGAGCTTAATCGACAGAGCGTTCACCACACAGTTGACACCTCATAGCTTACACATAACACTTTGCACAACATTGGAGGCACCACATAGTTCACGCCCCATGGCTCCCGCCTCCCGCTCACACAGCATATAGAGTACATGGCATTGCTCACACAGCCTTGCTTTAACCTCATATGACTGACTCGTACTTATAATTCACCACATAGCTCTCACGACAGACATGCCGCCACACAATCGACACCGCCGGGCTTTTCGCCTCTAACGCACCGTTTGGGGCCCACGCCAGCTATCATGAGTTTGTCCACCAGGGTGTTTTTTTCTCCAGATTTCGGCCCCGGGGCCCGCCGTCGGGTTCCCAAACATCTTGGGACCATCAGGCACGGATCCACGGCGAAGAACTGGCCCCAGGGCAGGGGTTGGGAGCTCCAGGGTTGCGTAGTGGGTGGTCGCCAGCGTGGGCCCCATGCAAGGTGTCCCCGGCATCACATCTTTTGCCACTCATGTGGTGCCATTCGTTTCTGTTCGCAGTGAACTGTTAACTTCCCTGCTCGCGCAATCACTCCACCCACCCACCCGCAACGCTGGTAGCGATGCTGGCGACGAATGAAGGTGCTGAACAACGGATCGTATGCGTAAGGGATCGCAAAGCCGCGAGCGCAGTTTTGTTCTTGAGAGCTGATGTTGCAAAAGTGTGTTGTTGTATGGTTTGCGGGGCAGTCGATTTCGAAATCATTATGAAGACCCAGGTTTTTTCAAATGGACTTCGGCATGCGCGCGACGACGCGCGCGTGCGCACTTCGTCCTGATGTTTGCAAGGGATTCTCGCGAACTGATGGCTTTGATCAATGGGTGCGCGTGCAGAGAATGTTCTGCAGAGGAAACGGGAAGAGGGGCGATACCAGTCTGCCTGGGATGATACGACGTCGTATTTAAGATGGACGTTGGGGCAGACTGAAGAAGGAAAGGGGCATACGAGAAAGGGAGACCGTTCAGTTCGGTGGTGGTGGTGGTGCATCCTGATGATGCTTTAGAACGGAAGTACATGTCGTGCAACCTACGTTGAGTAATAGAAGTGCTATCATCTATGACGTAGAATATACATGGTGCTTTCTACGTGCTAGAACCCGGGAACCCTGAACCGGGAATCTGGCAACCAAGCCGCCTACCGAAATCGGCCCCGCACTTTCGCCAAATATTTCCATCTCCGCTAGGACCCCTTCAGTGCACGCACTGATTGGGGAAAAGATGCTGTATCGTATATAGTGTGCCATTCATGTTGTGCACTCTATGTGGGGGGGCAGATCTGTGTCGCAACATACGTTGTGCCACATATGCTGTACAATGTATGTTGCGCAACCGGTTGTTAATCTACATGGTGCAACACTCGTGGTGCAATCTATGTGGTGCCGTGTGTGTGGAACAACCAGTGTGAATCAGTCTACGCCACGCATTTATATATATACATATATGCATGTGTGTATATATATATACACATAAAACCCCGCAGTTGTGGATAAGAGTGAAGCGGCGGGCGCGGGGTGGGTCGCAGGTAGGTCATGGGCGAATCGCGGGTGCGTCGCGGGGTCGGTCGCGGGTGGGGTGCGAGTGGGTCGCGGGTGGGTCGCGCGTGGGTAGTAAGTAGGTCGCGGGTGTGTCGCGGATGGGTCGTCGCGCGGTGGGTCGCGGCTGGGTCGCCTGCGGGTCGCGGGCTGGTCGCGGGGTGGGTCGCGGGATGGTCGCGGGTGAGTCGCGGGCGGGTCGCGGGTGGGTCGCTGGGTGGTTCGCGGGTGGGTCGAGGGCGGGTCGACGGTGGGTCGCGGGTGGGTCGCGGGCTGGGTTGCAAGCGGGACGACGACAGCAAACAACAAACAACAAACAACATAAAACAAACATGAACAACCAACACCATCAATAATAATAACAATACTCCCAACCACCGAAGCCCAGTTCAGCCACGCATCCAAAAACAGTGACTGACCGTTTGGCCCCCTCACCCTGATATAAAGCTGTATTTACACATGATGTACATTTGCATATATATATATATACATACATGTATGTATATATATATACAAACATATACATTTACATATACACATATCAAGCTACGTGGTACACCATAGACTATGCAAGATATGTGGTGAAATTTATGTGATGCAATCGGTGTTATGCAACATAGATTGCGTACTCTGTGTTTCGCCGCAGGCGGGACTGCCACCTGCGTGCTACAATATATGTGGGACTGCCACCTGTGGGGAGAGCCCAAATTAAGTACTGCAATCTATGAGGGGTCAACTACGTCGTGCAAGTCTTGTGGTGCGAATCGACCTGCCGACCTTGATAATGGCATCTCCACTGCTCGCGCTATCACCCCACCCACCCACCCGCGACTTGGTTTGCAAAACCATGCGGCGGCGATTGCCATGACTGCATGGCGATCGCCGGCGCGTCGCTACGGCCGCGCTAGCGCGCGCAGGCTCGCGCGCAGGGCGGCCAGGTAGACTGGAGCGACCGACGCGGCCGCTTTGGCGCTGAGTCAGCGCCAAAGCGGTCGCGTCGGCGGCGTAGGTCCTAGCGGTCAGTTCCTAGCGGCGCTGGGTGTCGCAGTTCCTAGCGGTCAGCGGCTGACCGCTAGGAACTTCCCAACGTGTCAGCCCATCCGCGCTGACGCGCGAGCTCTTCAGTGCGAGCCGGTGGCTCAGCCTGAAGTGTTATGGCGACGTCGGCAACGGCAGACACGATGATGATGGTAGCGGTGCTGGTGGCAACGATAACGATGACGACGGCGAGACCAATGATGGCGCCGATGCTGATCACGCCGGTGACGCTGATGGTGTCCACGCGTCGGCGATGAAGGTTTTGGAAAAATCAACATGCGCGCACGGCCAATGGGCGCGAGTGGCCCACATGGTAATATATGACAGGGATCGTGCACCCCCCAGCACGCGCGCAAATTTACTCCAATGAGTTCGACACGCACGCGCGACAGGCCCGTTTGGCCACATTTGCTGAAAGTGTTGACAAGTCAATAAATTCCGTACGAATTCGCAGAAAGCATGCGCGCAGACATTCTGGTGCGTGTGCTTGTGTGTGAAGAGCTATGTTGCAAGGCCACGTGCTGTGTTAGGAATGTGTTGGGGGCATTCAAGGTTGAAACCCTTGCTAAAATTAAGGTTGTTGCAGGATTTCGGCATGCGCGCGCGACGACGCGCGCGAGTGCACGTCGACCAATATGTTGTAATGTCTGATTGAAAACTGCTGACGTTTGATTAACGCGTGTGCACACATTCTGTCTTTTGAACGGGCTGAGAGGAGGGTCGATACCGGCTTTGCTGGAACGGTCTGCGTTCATATTCAGAATGAGAAGTGGATGATACGTACAGTGCAGCTCACCAGGGAGATCGATAATCTCGGCCTCGGGGGGTTCGTAAACCAGACTTCCTTTGCAAGAAGGAGAATCGATGCTGTGCAACAGGTGAAGTACAATCTATGTTGCGCAATGGATGTGGAGCAATACATTGGGTTGTGTTATCCACGTTGTGCAAAAGAAAGTTTGCAATATGTGTGGTGCAACCTACGATGTGCATCACACGTAATGAAACCAGTGCGGTGCAATTCATATAAATATATATGTATGAGTCAACAATAGATGTTGTGCACTATTTGTGGAGCAGTCGATGCTGTGAGCGATCAACGAGCGTGCCGCAGGCGCGATTTTGTTCTCGTGCAATCTACGAAGTGCAGTGGTGCAATCCAACGGCGGCGACGGACGGCGACGAGGCGGCGACGGGGCGGCGACGGCGGCCACATAGCCGCCAGACCGAAGACACGGCCCAAACGACCAGAGGCGACGACGCGGCGACGGGGCGATGACGGCGGCCACACAATGGCCAGACCGAAGACACGGCCCAGACGACGGGCGGCGATGAGGCGGCGACGGGGCGGCGACGGCGGCCACATAGCCGCCAGACCGAGGACTTGACCCACATCCTTCGAAAAGAAATAAGAGCCCCTAAGTGCAAGCACTGTCTGGATATCAAAAAACAGATCGGAGCATGTCTGGGGAGGAGAGGGACAAAGGTGGGATGAGGAGGAGGAGCAGGACAAATGATAAGGGCAGAAGAACGGGAGGGGGAAAACGGAGGAACTGCGGGAGGAGAGGAGGGCAACAGGGTGGAGGACGAGGGATGGGAGGGACTGGGGTGGAAGAGGGAATGGAAACGAAGAAGCAAGCGAAATGAAGGAGAGAACCAGGAGGAAGCAGGATGAGAGAGACGGATTTTTGGGAGGGCTGAGACCAAAATTAAAGAAATAGCAAAGAGGAAACGGAGGAAGAGGAGGAGGAGGAGGAGGAGGGAGAAGGAAGATGCGGAAGTGTTGGGGAGAAGGACGAGGGGATAAAGCATGACGTGCATGATGACGAAGGTAATGCTGATAACGACAAGTATCGCCCCTTCGCCTGGGAAACGCGCAGTGAGGCACTGAACCACGGATCCCACAAGAAGAAGAGACATCCCGCCGCCCGCTCGATGTCCCCAGACACCCACGCCGGAACCGACTCGACTCCAAGAGCATGCTTTCGGCATGTGGTAGAGATTATCTGCATCATTCTCTCCTGTACCAGGTGCCTCTTCAGTTGGGGCCCAATGACAGTTTGCCCCCCTTAGCATGATGCTGGAAGCATGCATGAGCCGCGCAGCCACAGCAAAGACCAAAGCCAGACACACGGAGCGAGACTGACCTTTGCGCGGCCCGTTCCCTAGGCAAGCGTTACGGTGTAGAGAGCGACGGCCTGCCTCCGAGAGAACAAGGCACCACAGAAGGTGCTCTATGAGATGGAGCCTGAGACCTTGCTTAACGCACACGGATATCCCCTTTGACGGAGCCAGGAGGACGTCCAGTCATCGAGGGTAGCATGGACACAAGCAGTTGGCCAAAGGGAATAACATCCAAATGAAAACGGTGGCCGTCGGCCCCAGTGCTTGCTACGGGACTACCGTCATGGTGCTACCGCAAGGAACGCTAAGTAAGGAACGGACGGAGGGTGCTGTCTTGCCACGGCGAGCCTCGGCCACGAATGGGCTCCCCGACCCGAACATGAACCGAGCCGTTTTCTGGCGGTCTTGGGGCCTCGGAAACGCCCCCGTTGCCCTCACGCCGAAGCGCGAGTGAGCGGCGCCAGTGATGGTGCTGGGTACGTGGACGTGCCCGTGCTCTTCTGGGCAGGGCGCCTGGGCAGATCGTGCCCCAACAGAGGGAAGGCGTGGATGAAACAGTCCAGGCGAGGAACACTGGGAGGCCCCAAATGGTGCGGTGGCAGACCATGCGGTGACCTCGGAATCCCCAAAGACCTCATCGCACGATCCGTCGCCGCTTCGGGCATGGGATGCCCAACTCGCCCGATACGTCCTCGGAGAACGACCTGAGTCCCAAAACCGTGCGATCACCCCGGGTCCCCACTGCATCAGCATACGGTGTGGTCACCGCACTGCTTGGGGGGCCCCGAACCCTCTTCTCGTTCGAAATCTGGTCAGCATCCCACCAGCCCTTTGGGCGTAGGTGGTCTAGAGTGTTTCCTCTGTTGCCACTCCTACTTCCCCTTCGGGGAGGGGCTTATCACTGCTCCCTGTTGATATACACCCCCTCCCCCAAACGACTGGGAGCCAACCCGAGTCAATGAGGCCACCCCCCCCACCATCCCTTGTAAAAACACTACAAAACGCACTCTGCCTCCAAATTCGGAGCACGCGCAGTGAACCCGATGCGGCCTCTCCCCACCATCCCTGTCAAGAAACATACAGAGTACACTTGGCGGCGGCGGCGGCGGCGGCTGCGACGGGGGCAGCAGCTGCGGCGGCTGCGGCGGTGGCGACGGCGGTGGCGGCGGCGGCGGCGGGGGCGGCGGCGGCGGTGGCGGCGGCGGCAGCGGTGGCGGCAGCGGCTGCGGCGGCAGCGGCTACGGCGGCGGCGATTCGCCAGAGGGGGCGGCGGCGGCGGCGGCGGCGGGCGGCGCGGTGGCGGCGGTGGCGGTGGACAGCGGCGGCGGCGGCGGCGGCGACGCGGCGGCGGCGGCGGCGGCGGGCGGCGGCGGCGGCGGAGGCGGCGGCGGCGGCGGCTTCGCCCCCAGTAACTGCCCATCCAAAGAAGACGACTGCTGAATCTGCTGCGGCTCGGGCCAGGCTCGGGTGCTACGTGTGTGTTGGGAGGGCGGGTGGGAGTGCGCGAGACGGCTTGCGGGCGGGTGGGGTCTTGACCCCTCCCCCATACCCCCTCCCCTGGACCTGGACGGGGGGGGTCCCCGACGCTTTGGAGCGTCCAAAACGGCCTCGGCAAGGAAGCCAAAAACATTGGTTGTACTAGGGTGTTGGCCCCATTTTGGCCTCCTGGGGGGGGAAGCTGATTGAGGACCCCCCCCTCCTGTGATCGATCTCCTCCAAGATGGCCCCAAGAGGCGCCCAGCAGGCCCCAAGAGGCCCCGAGATGGCCCCAAGATGGCCCCAAGATGGCCCCAAGAAGCCCCCAAGAGGCCCCCAGGATGCCCCCAAGAGGCTCCCAAGAGACCCCCACGAGGCCCCTAGAGACCGCCCAGAGGCACCCAAGACGCTCCAAGAGGCCTCGGCGAGAATGCCACGATCATTGATTGCACCAAGGTTTTGGCCACATTTGAGCCTCCTGGGGGGGGGGGGCACTGCTTCAGATGACTCCAAGAGCGCCTGGGAGAGCCCAAGATGACCTCCAAGATGGCTCAAGATATCCCAAGATGCCTCAGGATGGCTCCCACGATGCTCCAAGAGGCCCCCACACCGCTTCAGGAGTGCTCCAAGTGGCCAAAGAGCTCCCCCAGGAGGCCCCGAAGAGGCCCAGATCCTTCCAAAACCTTAGGAAGATGCATATGTTGAGCTTTCTCGCCTTTTCGCTTCCGATGGCCATCCGAGGCTTCAAGATGACTCCAAGATGGCACAAGAGGGCTCCAAGAGCGCTCCCAAGGCTCCCAAGAGCGCCTCAAGAGGGCCCCAAGAGGCGCCCAGGAGGCCCCAGGAGGCCCCAACAGGCGCCTCAGAGGCCTCCAAGCGGCCCCCATGAGGCACCCAAGGGGCCCCAAGAAGCTCTCCGAGGCACCCAATACGCTCTAAGAAGGTTCCGGGACCGCCAAAAGGCCCCAAAGACACTCCAAGAGGCCTCCACTGGGGGACCCTTCCTGTGTGTGCTGCCCACTTCCCTGATCAAGGCATTTCCTCTGGCCATCGTTTCTGGACTGGCTGGTGTTTTTTTTCGTCGCAGCCGCAAGCGAAGGCGCCAGCGGCGAGTCGAGTCGGCTCGGACTAATTGCCGGCGCGCGCGCGGAGCTAAGCAGGACCTACCGCCGGGGGAAGCGGCTGCGCCGAAGCTGGGCAGCAGCGCCGGGGGTGGGGACTGCAAGCGCTGGGGCTGCCAGGGAGCTGCAAGCGTGCGAGTACCGTGGGAGCTGAATCACCAGGTCTGCGAATTAGCCAACCAGGGTTGGGGCGCAGCCAAAATGGCGCGGGGGTCGTACCAGGATGTGGCCAGGGAGGTAACCAGGCAATACTCTGCGCCAGCTGCCATGGGTGGATCAACTGGCCCTAAGCTGGTGCGTGGGTGGCGCCACCAAAGTCGCGCACCAAACCTCCTGAAGGGAATACTGATCCTGCAACGACCGACCACGGGATGGTCTCGGTAGGACGAGCGAAGTAGCCAGGACAACGATGGATGTAATCGACACCGTAACACGCCTGAACCACGGATTGTCTCCAGACCCCACCCAAGGCCAACTCTGCCCAGATCACTCGTTACCGACAATTTCCGATAATGTTCTGAACGAACTGGTCGCGACCGACATTCGGCCTCCGACGAATTCGGGTAACGAGCGAACCTGCTGACGTCGTCGAAAGCCTCGCTTAGACCCCGACACGCCATTACCGAAAATTGGCGCGACCGAAATCCTTTACCAACAATTTCTGGTGGCGGGTGATCTGGGTGGCCAGCATGTTTTCATCCTGGCTCGGCAACCCGACGACCGGCTTGGAAGGCAGAGACATGGCGAGACACTGGCTGGACCCTGCGTCGACATGGCGCGACCTCGCCCGATGTTTCAGGCCCCTGGGCCTTCGCTGATCGATCTAGCCCTGAAGGATGTACTTTCATGTTGTCCACTTTCGTGTGGTCCTCGTTCGAGTCGTCCTCTTTCGTTTCGTCCTCTCTCGAAGCCCAGACGATTTTAAACTGGGCGAACTAAACTGGACGAATCGAGGCGGACGAATCGAAACGGACGAATTGGAAGCGGACGACATGGAACGGACGAAATGAAGCGGAATCCGTGGCAAGGGTGTATTCAGTCGCAAGCATGGGATGTCTTTATCTTTTTCAGCACGTGGTCCCCAGAAATCCGGACCCTTTTGCCCAGGACTGGGCTTCCGTCTGGCTATAATGTTTTCCTAGCAAGGAAAAAACAGGGACCATGATCACGACTGAACGAGGAAACGTCGTGTCGATCTTGGCCAGCGTCGATCTCGGCCAGCATCAATTCATGGATCATCCTCGCGAATCGGTCACCGCCGACATGGACCATGACGGACCCTGGCATCGACAACGTCCCGCTCCATCTTGGTCATGGTCCCCGTGTGTCCTCCCTGGAGGGAGGCCCGGGGAGGGGCACCAGAAGTCGCAAACTGCTAAGATTCCCCCGTCGGGGCATTTTCACATCGGACTTCATGGATGGTGGCCGTCGCCGATCGCCGCCGCCGCCAGCGGGAACGGCGCCCCCTCCTCCAGCGGCGTGCACCGAGCCGACCGTGCCTCGGAGGCACTGGCTGCACTTTCCCGATCGTTCCCTGGCCCAGGCCGTACAGATCTGTATATATATATGTATATATATATATAGAGAGAGAGAGATAGAGAGAGAAAAGAGAGAGAGAGAGAAAGAGAGAGAGAGAGAGAGGCAAAGAGACATAGAAAGGGCAGGCGTGGAGTGCAGGCGCAAATCCGAGGACATCCACTGATTGGGTTTCTCTCTGGTGTAAAAGTTTGGCCTCGCACGCCCCGAATCTACATCTACACACATGCCCCGCCTGCCGAAGTCTCCGAGGACCGATCTCCCGCGCGGTGATTCTGGACAGGTCTGCGCCTCCGGAGCAGGGCGAGTTGAGACAGTGGCAGCTCAACGCTGGTCCAAGGACTCCTCCCTGGGGCCCAGACGCACTAGCCGTGGCGACGAGGGGACCCGCCGAAGGCCAACTGGCGTTGTCTCCACCCGCCCTCCCGTCCCCGCCGCCTCCTCCCGATCACTCACTGGCCCGGGCCGCCCACACGTTTCCCCGCAGGCCGCCCTCTCGTACGAGAACGGCGCCCATGCGCGGCGCCGCGCTTGGACTCCCTCCCGGCCCCGCTCCAGCGCGGTACCATGCACAGCTGTCGGCCCTGAAGGCCGAAACACTGTGCAACGCCTCGGGAGGCTCTAAAACGGATCGGTTTACAGAGGTCGCGGCCCACTCGCGATCGCTCCCTCCCAAACTCCAGGGCTCCGGCGGATCTGCTGCTGCAATCCTGGCGATCTTTCGCCATGGAGCAGGCGGGTCATGAAGGAGCCGGGTCCCGATGCTTTTCGCTGCTTCCGGGCCTGCAGGGCCTCCACGGGCCCTGGGACCGTCAAGGAACGATGCATGTGTGATGTTGTTCTTTCCGGCCTAAGGCCTAAGGCAGAGTCGAACTGTTGGCGCAGGACCCTCTTCCGGGCCCTTTGCACCTCGGCAAGCTTTGCGGAGCCAGGTGGCAGACCTCGCTGCACTTTCCTCAGTTGACGCTTGCCATGTTGGGTGGAGGGCCCCGGGGTCCAGGACCCGCTCCCTTGTTTTTCCAGACGGCGGCTGGGACACACCAAGAAATAGGCACACATAACAGGATTTCCAATATGTTCATACATTTTCTGGTTTTTGGTCTTCCCCCCCAATTCCCATATTTTCCCATATTTTCTGGGGGATCGACGATTCATTGTGTCGGTGTTTTTTTGTCCCTCCTGAATCTTCTGGCCCCGGGGTCGGGAGCTCCCGGGCCGCGGCTTGAGAAGGCCACAGCGTCGGACGCCTGAGTCTCGACTCGCCTCTGCGATCAGCTAGTTACCAGCGCGCATCGCCCTGACGCCCAAAAATCCGATTCCCGTCACACGTGCTCTATGGCAAACCAGGTTCTTGATTACCTGGTTAGAAGGACTGCGTGTTCCGAGACACCTGCCAGCTTCGCTCACGTGGTTGCCGTCAATGTTGCCAGTGTTCCCCGAAAACATCTTTCAGCATAATGAGTGTTCCCACCTGGTCGTAAGGATTGCGTGTTCCAAGGCCTCTGCCGGCTTTGGTGGCATGGTTGCTGCTGATGGTGTCATTGCTTTTTCATGTGGCTCGCTCGTTCATACCTGGGGTCGGCGCTGAGGTAATGATAATGTTTTCAATGCGCGGCCCCAAAGTCCCGACTTTCTCCCCCCCCCCCCTCGAGGAATTGCTTTTTCGCCCTGATCCAGTTGTAGTGGCCCCGGGGCCCCATCGCGGGCTCCAGAAACCGAAATCGGAAGAAAACGCGGGGGCCCTGCTAGAAAGACGCCGGCCGCGCCTCGGTCCCGCCCCCTGCTGCTGGCTGGGAATGATCCAGAGGCCAAGGGCACCGCCTCACGCCGCCCTTTCTCGCTGCAGCACTCAAGCAACGCATCAGGGAGGCGACCCCTACACGCAAAGACTCTTCAGAAAATCAGCCAGCAAACCCAATGCAACATCCGACCCCTCAAGAAGGGATTGGGGAAAACGAACAGACAAAACGCACATCAAATATAGACCCCTTCGAATTAGCAAACAAGCAATCAACAACGCATTTCCAAACCCACTTGACGAAGAACACTTAAGCAACAAACAATCTAAAATTCCGATCGAACATGATTACTCTTCCGGTACGTCCCGCCGCTAAACCTCTGGCAAACAACGCTTTCTCGAATGACGCAGCACGGCCCCTGAATTAGTTTACGCTTCGGCGCGCCCCCCCCGCCGAGGCCCTGCACAAAGCACGACCCCGAACGACAATGACGATCCTTGCGCTCAAGTTGTCTTCTGGCCCGCCCCCGCCCGGCGGCCTCGGGGGCAAAGGGCCCGAGATGCCTCCCGAAGCTCTGCAGAACTCGCCGAGGCCTGCCCAAACTCCGCAATATCCTCCCGGGACTTGTCGATGCCTGGGGCCCGGGGGCCGGCGGCAAATTGCCCCTTCATGCGCAGGCGCCAAGAGTCTCGCTGGAGCCTCGGGGAAGCCCCAGGGCAACCCTCGAGGTGACCCCATACGACCCGCAGATGCAGCACAGCCAAGGCCGGCAAAACAGCAAGCACGCAAATGGCCCCGAGCCCCGTACCCTCTTCCAGAAGAAAATTATCCCGGCAAAACAACCCAACAGCGATGTGTAGACGCATAGCTGGAAACATTGCCTGTGGTTTTCATGTAAGAGTGTTGTTGTAGAATTCTGGTGTTCACGCAGTCGCATTCGGATTCGCAGTGGCAGTCGCAGTGGCAACATCAGCGGCAGTCGCAGTGGCACTGCCAGTAGTTTCAGTAGCACTAGCTACACTAGCAGCAGCGACAGCAGCAGCAGCAGTAATAGTAACAGTAGTAGTAGCAGTAGAAGTAGTACTGATGGTAGTAGTGGTAACAGTGAAGTAGTAGTTGTAGTGTGTGGAGTGAACGAGTAGGAGTGATGGGAGCAGTGGTAGTAGCAGTAGAAACACTGCTTTCGATAACGGTATCTCCAAATGAGATCTTTGTATAAATGCATTGGGGTCTAAACAAGACACTGCTATCAACGGATGTGATTCCAAACGAGACACTGCTATCAACGGGGTGAGCCTCAAACGACACACTTGCATCAATGAGTGTAGCTCTAAAACAGGCACTCCCATGAATGGATTTAGTGTGATGTCGTAGTAGTAGTAGTAGTAGTAGTAGTTAGTAGTAGTAGTAGTAGTAGTAGTAGTAGTAGTAGTAGTAGTAGTAGTAGTAGTAGTAGTAGTAGTAGTAGTAGTAGTAGTAGTAGTAGTAGTAGTAGTAGTAGTAGTAGTAGTAGTAGTAGTAGTAGTAGTAGTAGTAGTAGTAGTAGTAGTAGTAGTAGTAGTAGTAGTAGTAGTAGTAGTAGTAGTAGTAGTAGTAGTAGTAGTATGGGCACGGACCCGTAAGACCTGAGTCTCCACCGGGGTGCTCGGTGAAGCCATTGATGATGATGTGATGATTGAGGAGGATGATGAGATGATGACCGCGCTACTTGGATTTGTTCTGTCCGTCTTTCTAGGCCTCCAACCAAATCTTGGAAGACATCTCGCAAACGGAAGAGGGGCGCACAGAGGAGCGGCGTGTGAAGCGGACAGTCGGCAAAACTTGCAGGCTGAGAAGCACCTCAGAAACTCGGAGGCTGAGAAGCACCGCGGCCGCGCAGTCCTACTACTGCTGGAACTAGGATTACAAGTACGCACGCCGAGAAGTACCGTGGACACGCGGGCTCGGATACTTCACCTCTCCCGCTTGTATTGCAGGAAATCGCGCCAATCCGGCGGCTGGCAAGTACCGAGGAGGCGCAGGCTGAGAAGCACCGCGCGAGTGCAGGCTGAGAGGCGCTACGCGAGCGCATGCCACGGCATTGCGTGTCACATGAAAGCAGGCTGAGAAGCACCACATTTTGTTTGCCAGAGATCACTCCCAGGTCACCTGATCCCGCAACAACAGCCACGGCGAAGCTGCCACAGGGGCCGCAGAGAGCAACGGCTCGGTCACCCAATTGGCCTGCCGGTGAATCACAATGCGCGCGTGGCTCCATGAGCCATTGTATCGCGCGCTGCGAGGCACCAGTGTGCTGCGCGTGTTGTTGCCTTAGCAGAAGACGGCCTCTGGGGCCCAGTGCGGATTCCAGCGGGCAACGTAGACCCTGTGGACGCCATTCCGGATGACGTCGCGCGCGCCCTCGATCTGTGCCACCCATCGAAGCCAGTCAAACGCTGAGCCATCGGTGATGTCAACAGCACCTGGGGCAGTCTCGCCATGGTGGTAGTGCAACAGCGTTTGGAGAGCGGCGCTCGCTTCGCCGCGGCCCACAGTCTGGCGCGAGCGGGCGGCCTCTTGCAGGTGCTCCAGGTGTGAAGAGCAGTGGGGCATCACCGCCAGGCACGGCAGGCTGAGCAGCGCCACCGCTAGGCATGGCAGGCTGAGCAGCGCTGCCACCAGGTACATCAGGCTGAGTAGCGGCAGGCCCAGGCACCGCAGGCTGAGCAACGGCGCGTGGTGGACCGACATAGGTGGGCTCATCGGGTCGGCCGTTCTTGTGGTAATGCAGGCGCATGGCTGAGCCGTCTGTGCGAACGAACTCCAAGAAATGCCTGCCGTGGCCATCCGTGTTGGAGTAGTTTGGGTCGCGCTCTGTCTCGATGACGCGAATGAGAACCCGGGCGATATCCTGGCCGATTGCCCGGTCAGCGAGACCCGGAGCGGCAGACCGAAGCAGTTGCTTCCAGTCGTAGAACGGGTCGTTTGCTACGTCTCTGAACGACACGTCGTTGGCAATGCGCTGCGTGCGCAGCGCGCGCTGCCATTGGCAGGCGGTCTTGCCGGTGAGCTCGCTCAAAAACCACGTCGAAATCTGGCCCAGCAGGCGGTCCGGGCGGAAGCGGCAGAGACTCCTCCGGGACATCAGATGGTGGCGGGGGTGGCGGGGGCGACGCCGCCCTGTCGCGCCCTGGCATTGCGAGCGAGCAGGCTGAGGAGCACCGCCGCGGCTGGGCGCGCAGGTG